TAGAGACATAGCAGGGGAGGTTGTGGGAAAATGACTGATAACAATGATTATGGGAAAGAAGAAAGATGTACTGAAATTATTGTGGTGATGATTGCATAAGTCTTCTTAATAATGATTAGACTATTAAATATTGAACGATGCAGGAAGCATCGAAAGAAGGAAAGAATATACAAAGTCACTGTACCAAAAAGAACATTTCAATTGGCATTCCATCCATTCCTATAACCTTGTTTTGGTCTAATGCTTTCAGTGCAATGTAAACATCTTCCTTCAGCATCATTGGTTCTTGCTCATATGCTACCTTCTAAAATGGTGAAATGTTGAGTAGTTCTTTAGGCATTTGGAAGGTTGAGAACTGCTGCTGTAGAAGGACACATGCTTGGCAAAATCGAGAGGCATCGAGGAGAGGAAGGCTCTCAAAGAGTTTGATTGCCACCATGGCCACAACCAGGGGCTCAAGAATAGGAACACATGTGAGGATGGCAAAGGGCTGGGCAGTGTTTCTTTCATTGTGTGTGAGGTCATTACAGGGCCTCACAACCACAGCAACATTAAGTTGTATGAAAACTACTGAGAGAATTAAATAGTCACCACCGAGTTTTAAACCTTTTCACCAGGAGGGGTCCCATTGGAGAAGCAGGGGAACAGCGGACAAGAAGGGCAAAAAGAGAAGCAAGAGCAAAGAGTGGAAGACGGGTAAAGCAAAGCAAAGGAGCGAAAGGAAGATAGAAGAGTAGGTGGTGGAGCACCGTTGCTTTAAAAGCCAAGTCGTGGCACTTGGCCAGGAGGAGCTGATGCCTGTTTTGGGGTGGCAGGGACAGGCACTGAACTCCCGAGAGGCCTGCCCTTCCTCTGAGGAGGCACAGTCTGCTTTTGTCTGCTGTCTGGGTAGACCGGAACAAGCATACGTGTTAATCTCTGAATTCCTAACATTCAACACAGTACATCACACAGTGTGCTTTTCAGTCACTGAACTAAACTGAGATGAATCATTTAGCCAAAGCAAAATGATATTAATTAAGAGTTTGAATTAAAATGCTTTGGCTTGCTGATGTAGGGAAAAAAAGAAAAATAAAGGATCAGTCTTTCAATTCTATTTGTTGTCTGTTTTCATCAGCTTTAAAAACATGAAAAAATTTCCCTTAACGTTAAGTACATAATATGTATAAAGGTGAAAATGAAAAGCAAAATGTCTTTGCTCAGTTCAAAATCTCTCTAGGTTTTGGTGAAAAATGAACTAGGTTTATGAGAAATTTCCCCTCTGTAATAGCTCTTTTCAATTTTACTCTCACATTAGCATCTACAGACAAAACTCCTTTAAATTCCCCTGCATCTTCATTGCGAAATAAAATCTGGGCTTGTGAAGATACAGAAATGTTTATCTTTCTCCAGAAAGCTTGATTCAATCAAAACCCAGGGAACCAACGTGAAAATGCAGGACATCACTTCAATTCAGTCCTAGGACATAAACAGCCCTAGGAGATAAGAGTATAATATGTGATATTTATCCTCATAAGTCTCCTTAGAAGTGATCCAGGTCTGGCTTATCACGAACAGTGAGGAAGGTAAATTTAAAAGAAAATAAAACAAAACTTCACAGAATTATGTCTCAAAAAGTGGTGGGCTTCATTTAGAGGCAGCACAAAAGAAGGTGAGGAAGTTGTTCCTGGAAAAAGCGCCATCTGCCGGGAGCCCAGTGCGTTGGATAAGGACCAGGGCCAATCAAAGCCATCCACACAGCTGTACCAGGCACCCGGCAGTGTTTTGCTTGCAGCTGGAAATGTTTCCTGGCCTTCGGATGATAATGTTCAACCTTAATTTCTGAGGATATATTATTTATGAGCACAAGAAGAATGCCAGGCTGATGTCCGAGACATTTGTTAGACATGACACGGACTCTGTAACTATAACTTCCTGGAGGAACTGGCGAAGCTCTTCGTCGGAATCGGGACAGCTGTTGGAATTGGGCCGCGGTGGAGCATGGTGGTTGTTTTCCTCTTCTTTTGCTCATCTCGGTCGTGAACAGCATTTAGTCCCAAGAGGATTTTATTTTAATTCTGTGTTCTATTGAATCACATTTTCGACATAGGGTCACATCACCAACTGTCATTTTCATATGTTGCTAATGAAAGAAATCCTGCTTTGAAGTCTTGGAAATGTGTAATGCCAGACAACAGCTCCAACTTAACGCCCGATCGCTTATATCAGTCAGTCATTCTGCCAGTTTTCCCAGGCAGCTATTTGCTTTCTGCTGACGCTCAGAAGCCCGAAATGAAGGAGATGATCTGGCAGAACTTTTACCCAAAAGATGCTTAGAGGCTGAGAAATATGACTAATGAACTTCAAACAGTGAGTGAGCAATACAAGCATACACTGAGAAGCCATGGGCAGATGAGACAGTTAAGGTTTATCTTTGTTATGCCAAGCTGGCTGATAAACACATGTGGGATTAATTGAATGGCGGAGAGATAAAATGGCACCGTGAGGCTCGCCTTTCTAGTTCTCCTGTCTCTTGCTCTTTGATGGTCGGACCAGCAAGCGGCTGCCTTAGCTGATTCTATGCCTCAGCTGGCAAGGCTCACTTCCTGGGAGCCATCCCTGAGGAGAAGACACATGGACCTACCGTGATGCAGTCCTGGGTGCTGGAGCAGCCGTGTGGAGACCCCTGCCAGCGCTGAGATGCTTACACCGCCACTGGATTCAAAGACTTTCTACCCACTGGCCTGTGATCCTCCTGCATTTGGTGTCATTGTGTGTGTTTTGTGAGTTTGAGGAGGACTTTGGAGATCGGTGTTGGACATATGGGCCAAGTTGAACTTATGGGCTTGGACTGGATAGGGTTAGGATGCTTTCTGAATGTACACTTACCCTTTATATAAAACTCTCTCTTATACACATATGAGTTTCTGTGGATTTGTTTCCCTAGTTTACCAAGACCAACACAGCAGATAAGTTCAAGGACTGATAGACCTAGCTACCAACTTACAGTAATAAAAGAATGAGAGAAACATTTTTGACATTAGAGAAAGGCAACCACATAGTTCATATTGCAGGGATCTTTCCGACCAATAAACTAACCCCAAACAAACAAGCCAAATAAATAAGCAAGAGAGAAGAGCAAGACGAGAGATGAAAAGGAAAAACATGTAGATTTTAAAAATTCATAAGACAAATCAACATTTCCCGTGTAAGCCCTTTGTCAGGATTCTAATGCAGAGAAACTTCTGAAAATGAAATCCAGCAATCAATGATATATAAATGTTGAGTACATATTTGAAAGCATTATAGAGTTATAGCTTGAAAAAAATTTGCATGATGATATTTTTATTATTCTCCAAAAGAAAGAGTCTTTGTCTTTCAGTTAGGATCTTTTGGACAGAAATATGGAAATATTTATACAGTTAGATGTCAATGTAATCTAGGTGAGAATGTGGGTGGGATCGAAACGATACAAGATTGACCATTAGTTGATTCTTTGTAAAGCTGGATTATGGGTGCACTAGGGTTCATTATGTTACTTGTTGATCTTTCTATGTAATAGATATTTTCCATAATGTATAAAAAATTAAAGAGCTGTTGGTATGCAGAGAGAAGGATGTTCATTAAAAGGAGAAATTGCTAAAGTTAAAAAAAAGTTTATGACTAAAGTTAGGATCTGAGGCGATTTGAAGTCCTGCAGAGTTTAGGTGTAGGTGTAGGATAGGCTAGGGTAGATGGAATGAAAACAAATGTAGCTTTTGGAATTAGGAAGATATAGGGAAGAAAAGATTGTAACACCACAAAAATCATAATGCCACCTAAGCCTAAAGTGTTCGGAGACCTTGGACTAAAGATTGTCCAGGTATAACCACAGGGGAAATAACAAGACAATTTTTCTTCTATGGTGATGAATGTAGTTAAATTGGACCCAACTGGTTGTGTTTCCTTATGCATGTAGAGATAAATTTTTACATTGTGATACCATTAGTCTGACAACTATAAGCAAAGTGTAAGATCTGCCATTACTATAAAATAATATTTTGTCAAATCACTAATTTACCTGTTTGAAAACAACTGTGAAAATAATTTGGTTAGCACTTCCTTTAAAAATTCAAGCAATGAGTTTGGGACAATGTACCAGGATGGCATTAGATGGTGTTGAAGGGATTTGCCATCCCCTGACTCATGAAGAGATTCACAGTTGTTTATCTGTTCCATTAATTGACTGTCTGATGACTCAGCTAGCATTTCACATTACTCATTAGTCTATGAAGATTTCTCTAAAATCAATGCACAGCTGCTCGCAGGCAAGAAAAAGTGATTTTTGCACTGGATCACAAGATATACATGTGCTGTATATCAAAGACAAGACCTCAGCCTTTGAAGCTTTGTCGATAGAACTGTCCATTGATAGAAGTAATTGTAGAGGCATCTGTAGAAGAGGAAGTTGCCTCCCAGTGGGCTGATACTTCCCCCTGGCACATTCAGTGATGGCATGATTAGGAGACAGAGATGAGAGGGAAATTATATAAAATGGATAATTCCACAGTATGACAACCCTCGTAATTCTGCCGTTAGTATATTATTGCCTTTGGTGCCTTCATTTAATCCCCATCACAGAGAAGCAGATGCATTTTCTACAATCAGATTCACTGGCATTATGAAGACTGAAAGACGCTATTGTCAGGTAGGGCAAATGAACTCATTAAAGTTGCAGGGCAATTTACATTAGACCAAATGATGAAATTTCAAATGAAAACACATTACTGTGGGCTAATATATTTTTGTTGGTGTTGCTAAATACCCCCCAGCATGTAAAGCATTAAATGAACGGGCCCATCCTGTGTAGGGTTTTGGTTCAAAGAAAGAACTAAGCACGCCTCAAAGGCTCTTCCAGAGCAGGCCTGTTCATCTCCTCTGTGGCGTTTTCCTAGGAACATTGCAGTCATAATACTGCACAATATTGCAGTCTACACAACATTGCTATACAGCACTGCAGTCATAATACTGAAGCTCCTTACCTGAAGGTAATGGCATGGCCTCAAGGAAGGCTTGATTTCCTGATGGACCAGAGGCTTATCTAAGTTGAGGGAGCTCTTGCGGTAGGCTTCCTTGGCCTGGCTTACTGTAAGAGTGGACCAGGAACTCCTTTTCATGTACTTTGCATCCGGGGTCATGGCTAATCCTTCACAAGCAGAACACTTGACGTCATTGTTACTTTTGGAGGTCTTCAGTGAGAGGTCTCCGAAAGGGCCTTGGAGAGTTTCAGGGTAGCAATGGGAGATGTGATCTACGTGGTGCCTGTTCACCACACTAGGTGTTCGGTAAGTGCTATCACTGTCCAAATTGTCATCCGAACTCCACCAACTACTCATGCCAGATTTATGCTTGCTTTCAGGTTTCCGCTCCTTGCTCTTACTCCGCTTACTGTGTTTCGAGTGGTGGCTGTGGTGGTGATCCTCCACTCTACTGTCCCCTTTGGTCCCATTGACATTACTCTTGGAAGAACCTTCCAAAGAATGAGACTTGGTGAAGAGCTTTTGCACAGAATGGACAAGGTGCCGTATCCTGCCCGGGCTCTCGCTGCGCTGCTCGGCGGCAGTCGAAGCCCTCTGGTATTGTAAAGTATGGAAGCCGTCTCTGTGCAGAGGGAGCTGCTTCTCAAACTGGTCTAAGAGGTTGGCTGGAATTCGGTTAATTTTAGTGCTGGCATGAGACATGGCACAATCGTCTCTTGTATCGTAATGCGAGCTATAGTGCATTCTGGGAAAAGTGCTACTGGACATGTGATCGCCCATCACCATGGGCATCATCATGCATTCGGAATGAATGGAACTTCGGGGTGAACAGCGATGGTGGTCCATGGGGCAGCTGTCCGTGGGGCTGAGCAAGTAGGACTGCCGTGTTTCCTGCCCATGGTGCAGGTGCTCGTGAGGATGCTCACAATCTTCAGGGGGTGTCAAGCCACACGTGTGACCAGAACATAGCTGTGGTTGATTTCGACTCCCAGCTAATCCTTTCATATTCCTAGGAGCAGGGGAGTATCTTTCCTCATTGAAGTGCTGAGTCAGCGACCATGAGTACTGCTGGTCTGTTGAAAAAACACAAGGATGTCATTTAACACTTTGTAAATAGTGACGCAAATTCTTATGTGCTAGCAAAGCAGAATATCTGATACCCGATAAATAAACTGTTGGGGTTTTTTTAGCAGTGTTCAGTTTGGGTCTGAAGATTTCAAATGTATAATAATTTCATAACACATTCTTGCATAGGTCCAAAGAATAATACTATTAATAAGGATAAACTTTGATAGTCCCAGATGATATTTTCTAACTGCCAATGTTTGATGTCTGTTAACATCACCAGGTCCTTTGGCAGCGATTTTGTGGTACTAAAGAGATAAACAGTTTGATTAAAATAAACACACTAGTTATATTTCAAGTAGATTGACTACGGTGATTCAGTTTAAGAAGTTCGAAAAATGACCTCTGCCATTTAATTAGTAATATTGATTGGCAGATGAATACATTGCACATGACTATATTAATCATAAAATAGGTGTTTACATTCACATTCTCACGGTGCAGTCACGGGCACTGAAGTGGTTTTGTGAAGAATATACTTCTGTGGTCCAAACGAGGACTCAGCAGTGTTCTCCTGCCTTTCCATTTCGGAATTGGTTTTTCAACGACACAACTGAGTTCCATAAAACAAACCAAAAATGTGTGACTATAGTATATGCTATATTGTGTTCATTGAGTGCCAGCATATCAATGTTGACTCCTTGCAATTCATGTGACACAGCAGAGCTGCCCCTGAAGGTTTCTAGGCTGTAAACGATGCAGGTCCTGATCCTGATCCTGGCTGAGGGGAGATGTGGGGATGAGAGTGCAGGTCGGGAATTTGAATTGCCAGCCCTTTGGGTCAGCAACTGAGCACTGCACTGTTGTTTCGATAGAGCTCCTTAGATGTCGTGCTATGTGACGCACAGATAATCAAATAATAAAATATTGACATTTTAGTGGATGTGGATGTGTGCTTGCTGTGTTTGGCTATTGAACTTCCTGGATTGGGGGTTATTTTCTCGGTTAGGGACGCAGTTGAGTATCATGATGAAAATAGTGGCTGTTAGAAATACACAGCTTATGTTAGAAACCTAACTTTGGCATGTGTGAGTGAGTGTAGCCCAGTTATGCAACCTCTCCCACCTTCAGTTTTCTCATCTGTGGGACAAAGACGGGAGGCACGGTGGCAAGTCACAGTCTCAGACACAAGTCACGCTCTCTGTGTTTACGGGCCGCACGAGTATTATTATCATTGTTTTAGGTTCTTTGGCGTCTCTATTTATAAAGTTTGTGTTTATTTAAGAGCTTGTATTCCAGGATTCTCTAGGTGAAGCCCCAGGGTTCATTTCCGATCGCTACTGTACTTTCCAAGTGTTTCAGTTTCACTCCCACATTCGATTTTGCCTCTGACAAACAGATGCAGAAAACATCGATCAATCCACGGAGCGGATTTCAATGAAAACAGGTGGAAACGTAACATGAAAGGCAGAATCCTAAGGACTTTCCCCATGTAGCTGAGATTAGAGAGGCCTCTTTGCTCTCTTTGTTCCCATTCAAATGTCACCAGGGAAGACACCTTGTCTCTGACCAGTGCCTCTGCGTGGGAAAATAGAGGACATGTTGTTGCCCAAGATCAGATGTCTCTCTCTCTCTCCTCTATCTTCAATATTTCCTCCACTCCTGCTCTTACCCTCCCATCTCAAAAACTCACCGGCATCCAGTCAATGCTGACTCATCACGACCCCGCTGCGGGTTTCCCAGACTGTAATTGTTGTCTGGAGTAGAAAGGTTCTCCTTTCGAACTGCCGACTCTGAGGATGGCAGCCCAACACGGAACCTCTACACCACTAGGGCCCCTTCTCTCCCCTTTGTTGTGTAATTGACCCATTTTCTGTTCCAGTGTTAGCTTACTGCCTAATTTTCTATTTTCAATTACTATGGTAATTGACACAGCAGTGTTCATTTTAATGACTTCTTGTCATAAATGAATTGGTCAGGCATCTATCTGTCTTTACATGAGGGTTCCACAAACAATCATGGGGTTGATCACACTGAAAATGAATATACCACCCAGACTGACTACAGCCGAGACATCCAAATGGACACCTAGGGCAACCAGAAATGAGAAAGTTAAGCATCAGTAGGCATCCCCTCTATCATTTCTATATATCACTTTCTAAAAAATAAAAGTAATTTAAGAAATTAATGTAATCTCATGTCAGAAAAATATCACCTGCCAGGAACATTTACCAAATGACTAGTCCAAGGAACTTGGATCTTACAAGTGGCATCTCCACTGTGCAGAGTATATCAGCTAGCCAAGTAAATTGTAAAGAAAGGTCATATGTCAAAAATTCAACACACATTAGGAGTAAGCCTAACCATACCTCAGACTGATTTTTTTTTCTTCTGGCTCCTGGGCTGTGGGCATTGGTTTATTGTGGCTGGGAGGCTCCTGGAAGCTCTGCTGGCCTGGACCAGGGGTTGTGTAGGAGGACTGAGAGGTGGGGTGGGCTGGGGGGACTTGCAGGGGTGGAAAGTCTTCAGCACAAGCCTGACTTGGAGAGTGAGGGTGGTGTCTCTGTGGTCTGCCCTTTTGGTCTCTCCTTAGGGCATGATGATCCCCTGCAAGGTGGAACTGCCCACAAAGGTTTCTCTCCCTCCTGGGCCTAGACTTGACAAACTTTTCCCTCCTAGGATCATAACAGGAGCCTGCTGGGAAAGGGGGCCCCTTTTGACTTGTTTTCTTCCATCCTGTCAATTTTAACTCTCAGAGTGATTGATGGAAGAGAAGGTAGAAGGTTTGGGGGAATTAGAATGGACTCAGAGAAAGGTTTGGGGTTGTTTCTCCTGCTAAGGGCCTCAAATGGATCCCTCCTACTTCTCACCATGAACAGTGTCCAAAGAAAGGATTAAATAGTTTATTTTGTTTTCGGGTGCTTATATGGTCTCATGGGAATGCTTTTGTATTACAGCCTTTCTTTCCTTGTAGCCAAATTATAAGGAGAGCACTTTTATATATTAGGAGGGGCTATTTGGATTGTATTACATTTTAATATAATTAAAAGCAAGTTTTCAAAGGAAATTCAATGTGATAAATAGCAAAACTATGTACTGTACTCTAGACTTTATGCAACCATAAAGTTGTCATCTTATTATCTTTTGCTTTATTTTTTCATTAATATGTAATTTAATGCAATTCTAATATTCCTTCATACTAAAAAGCAAGCCCATTATTGTTCCACTCATCCATTCTATTTCTGTCTAATGTTTAGCCTAGAAGCTATATTATGAATGTTACGATGCAAGAGAACAATATAAAAGATAAAATTTTAACTGAAATGAATTAAATTTGATTATGCAACATGATAAGGCATTCTCATTTCACTATTCAGGATTGAATTCCCTGATGCATGCATGGAAACATACATTGCCTCTTAAAATTATTACAATAACAAGATAATAATGTACTGTAAATAAAGGCAATAATAAAAAATATAGTAAGCAATTGTACTGTAGTTGACTTTGTTTTATATGTCTACAGACTACATAATAAATGCTTTGGGGCTTGTAATTTCTTATTGTGCAAATGAAATAACCAACACGATGTGTGGAAAGCATCTTAGCTTTCTAATTTCCAGCTATTCACTATACCATTTTTGTTATTAAGCAAGCGAAAACAACGATTACAGTCATTATTCATTATCACATAATATTTATGCCAACTGTAGACTGAAATATACATTTTAGTGTTGCGTTTTATGAGACTGTTGGTGTGGTATGCTGTCGCGATTATGTACCACTGAGTCTCCATCTGATTCACAGAGACCCTACGGACAACAGAACCCAACTGGCTGGGCCTGCGCCATCTTCGTAATTCTGGTTATGTTTGAGCCAATTCCTACAGACATTTTGCCAACCCATCTCATTGACAGTCTTCCTCTTTTTCCTTTTTTTAAAAAAAAAATGAAGCATGATGTCCTTTTCCAAGGAATTATCTTTCATGATAGCATGTCCAAAGTATCTGAGACAAAGTCATGCCATCCTAGCTTCTAAAGAGTATTCTGGCCGTACTTTCTCCAACACCAATATGTTTGCTCTTCTGGCGTTTCACAGTACTTTCAAGATTATTCACCAACACCACATTCAACACCGCGTTCTTCTCTGGTCTTTCTTATTCACTGCTCATATTTCACATGCGTATGAGGCTACTGAAAATACTAGAGCTTGGGTCCGGCATACCTTAGTCTTTCAAGTGATATCTTTACTCTTTAACACAATAAATAGTTCTTGTGCAACAGACTTCTCCAATGGAATATGTCATTTGATTTCTTGGCAGCTGCTTTTGTGAATACTGGTTGTGGATCCAAGTGAAATGAAATATTCGACACCTTCTATCTTTCCTCTGCTTATCATATAGTATTTTTTGGTCCAGTTGTGAGGCTATGTATTTTTTTACATTGAGCTGTAATCTATACTAAAGCCAGTAGTCTATGATCTTCATCAGTAAGTGCTTCACATATCCTTTGCTTTCAGCAAACAGGGTTGTGTCATCTGAATATCAAAGGTTGTTAATGAGCCTTCTTCTTCACACAGTCCAGCTTCCCAGAGGATTTGTTTAGCACACACATTTAATAGGTATGGTTAAAGGATAAAACCCTGTGGTATACTGGCTCGTGTCTTTCCTGATTTAAACTATTTTATATCTCTTTATGGTGTTCCATTGAATGTCTTTTCCACCTGAACACAGTTAAGTGTTCTATAATTCCCATTTTTTGAAACTTTATAGTTTGGTATAATGAAAACAGTCAAATGCTAATGCACAGTCAATGAAAGACAAGAAAGTGTCTTTCTGGTATTTTATGTGTCCAGTATGCATCTTTCTGGTATTTGGTGCTTTCAGCTAAGTACAGTCTGCTGCAGCAATGCCATATCTCATTCTATATCCTTTCCTGGACCCACCTTGACTTTCTGGCTGCTCCCCATGGATGGACTGCTACAACTGTTGTTGCTGTTGGGTTTTTAA